ACCGGATTTAAAGGGTTAAAATTTGAAGGAGAGAAACGATCATTTAACTGATTGTAAGATGTGCTTTAAAAATATTGTTAATGGGGCTGGCAGGTAGCATGGCGGTTAAGGGCACGGGACTCCCACATGGCTGACTGTGGTTCGAGTCCTGGACTTGGCGACTTGCTTTCTCAATTTCACTCCCTCTCTCTTTCACTGTGTCCCTCTCTGGTCAAATTAAAACAAATAAAGTTAAATAATTCTTTAAAAAATATATATTGTTGGTATCTCTGTGAATTGGGACACTATATCATCAACGGCATTTTACAAATATAAAATATAACTATTTTTTCTTGGCAGTGCCTATTATAATCGGTGTTGTTTGGGTTGGAAGTGTTAGCTGTTGACGTGAGATAGGATGTTGACTGGATCAGATGTGCAAGCCAGGAAACCTGCTGCTATGCTATGGTCAAAAAGAGACTAAAACAAGGTGTTCCCGAGGTTTGAGGGAAGCCACAACACAGGAAAAGCAGAGAGACCAAGGCTCAACCCAAAGACATCTGGCACAGAGAAGCAGACAAGCCATGTGTAGAACAGGATAAAAACCTGGGCCAGTCATGATCCCCAGAGCCATTACATGTGACTCCTGGACCAGGGAATGAGAAAACCATTGTGAATCAGTGATGCTATGATGTAAACAGTAGGTCAGGATACTTAGCACAGGTCATGAGAAGTGTTGGAAATTCTGCTTGGGCAGGGGGAATGTTAGTGCTTATTGCAACCCTTTGTTCAATTTGCTCACCAAATCCAAATTATCAGAGGAAGATCTTTCCTCCCTTGAAACTGGAAAGCCATGATTTGGGGACCTGACAAAAAAGAAAGAGGCGGGTGTATGGAGCCTGTCTCACCATTCAGATAGTAAAGTTAAGGAACTTCATGCCCTGAAATGAGAAGTAGACAATAATTTTAAGAAGGTCTTGTTCAGGTTGACAGAGGTGTTCAAATAACTATGAAGTATTATGTTCTATGCCAGGCTAGAGGAGGTGCAGGGTACTGTGGGAGCTCAGAGGAGGGAGCAGGAGCCTTAAGAGAGTCTTAAAGGGCACGACCTTCAAGCTGGAACCCAGGATGAATGACAGCGAGAGAGGGACCAGAAGCATGTTTTCAGGCAGAGGAAGCACCACCAACCTGTTGCTCCAGAACCAAACACCCCTGCCTGCTGTTCTGGCCTCTTCTCTGAAAACAGGCTGGACTTGGCCTGGTTGGACCTTGTTCCATCTGTCACAGGGGTGGGGTACAAGTTATGGTCCCAGATCTGGTAATGGGTTGCCCCTTCATCTGCCTAATCAAAGATCCAACACATTGTTTTTCCCCCTTCTGCCCATTAACTGCAGTACATTAATGCCATTGGATTCCCCACTCTTATAAACCCCCTTCACTGACTGTGCCTCACCTCCCCAGCTTTTTTGAATGTGTGGCAGTGCTGTAATGTAGCTGCCTGTTCCTGAGAAGTGATTACAGATCTTGGCTGTGCTGACCCCCCACCACAGCTGCCCAGAGTGGCCACAGCTTGGCCCAGTGCTTCATCTTGATTAGCCCTTAACTTCTTCCCTCCCGCTGTCTTCTCTGACATTGCTGGAGTCAGTAGGTTAAATAATCCCTCTGTATCTGGCCTTCTGTCCTCGGCCCTGTTTGCTGTACTCCCTGGTGCTGTTGGTGAACAGTGCTATGGGACAAGAGGGACTGAGGTCTTGCCCTCCTCTGACCCAGTGGAGTTTCCCATCAAGACTGGGATCAGCTTATTCCACAGCACTTGACCTCCTTATTAGATCACAGATTTTAGTCAGCTACTCCTTTAACCTTCAGTTCTGATGACAGCTCCCTTTCTGTTTACTTAGCTTTCATGCCAAATTCCAGACCCTCCCTCAAAGCCTTGCTGCTTTTCACCCTTCCCCACTCCCACCTTCCCCTTCCTCTCATTGTCTGAATCTTGCCTCAAGATCACCTTCTGCTATGATCTTGCCTATGCTCCACTTCTCTGTTCGAAGGCTTTTATTTCTTTCTTGGGTTTGATTCTTGAATTCTGTTTCCTCTGGGGTCCCCTCACCCACAAACACACACTCCTTAGCTCAAGCTAAGCCTGGGTATGGGAAGGAAGGGTTCCTTTTTCAGTAATAGCCCAGCACTCATTAGAAACTTCAGGGGAAGCAGTTGAGCTCATGGCAGACGGAGTGGGCCCTACCATGATGACAGTGGGAAGGATAGCTCCCATTGTCTGAGGTCAGAGTGGTGCTAATTACGTATCTTTCATGTAGTTCTTCCAGCACCATTTTGATATTTCCTAGATGAGTGAGGCAAATCTCAGGATCCTTAAGTTACTTGCTTAAGTTCACACAGCTAGTAAGTGCCTGAATTTGTATTTAAGCTCTAAAACAACCACCACGTTGTTGCACAGAATCCTTTAGGTCAAAGTAATTTTCTTTGGAAAGTCAGTCTCCAGATCATTGTGCTTTTCCCTTGTTCTTTGGAGACCAAATGTGACCCAGGGACTGGCCTCTTGCTGGACTTTCCCTCTTTGTACAGTCTGGTCCCTGGTTAGGCCTGTCCTCTTTATACCTGGAGGTAACAGGTTAAAGATGAACAGCGGGGGTGGGAAGTGGACAGGGGCTTCCTGCCAGCCAATCTGAAAGCGACCGCCTAGGCTCTGGGCTCCACATCATCTGCTCCTGCTAAGACAATCATCAACATAAAAGGCTAATTGTATTAATCACCGAGGCACCCGTTCTGAGTCCCCCTCCCTTTTGGGAGAATTATGAATTGCAATTGCAGATGGCTCCACTGATTGAAGGCAGTGCTCAGCAGGGAGAAGGGCCAGATCAGATTACACACCATTAATTAAAAACTTCCCCTGACAAACAAGAGGAAGGGAATGAACACCAAGGGCCTCCCGGGTGGGTCTCTGTCCTCCCCATGCTCCCTCCCCCACCCGGGCCAAGGGGGCTGTGATGATGAAGCCTGTGTCCCCAGCTGGAACCGCTGAGATTCAGCTCACCAAAGGCCAGCCCTTCCCTCCTCCAAACAGATGGCCTGCTGTCCTAGTAAAGGGCTCCAGAGAAGGAGAAGCTAACCTTTGGTTACGTATTTCTGTCGCTAACCTTCGATGCTCTTCAGATTCTAACCTAGTTCCTTAATTGTCATGAAACCTAGCTCCTCCTCTCTAGCCTATCTGGACAGAGAACAGTTTTAAAGGACCACTAGTGAAAACAGTCCCCCAGTTTTCTCTTCATACAAATAATCTTTTAGTCTTTAAATTCCTGGGACAGAGTTTACAAACCCTGCTCTGGAGTAGTGAGTGGAGATTCAAGTGTTTGGTGTGGCACCTTCTTCCTAGCATTACCTAGAAGCACAGGCTGCTCGGCTGCTGTCATTTTGACTCATTTGGAGCTGTAACTTGAATTTTCCTTTTCTTGATCAATTACTGCCTCCCCAGCCACCCAGCCTCGGTCATTCATTCGTCAAACTTTCATTGAACACCCAGTGTGTGCTTGGCTCTGGGAACACAGAGATAATTTGTCAAGGAGCTGAAGAGCCAGTGCAGGAGCTCCACCTTCATGCCCCTTCCCCTTCCTTTCTTCCTATGACTGCAGCCCATAGAGCCCCTTGGGACTGTTTTGGGAAAATTCTAAGACCTTAACGGGTCAATGCTTCTAAGCTGGGTGACCTCCAGCCAGTCATCCTCTGTAGTCACATACACGCCTGCCCACATACATGTGCCTCAGCTGTCCCTGCTCATAAAAGGGCACAGGGAGCCCTGGGCTCAGAGGTTGCGAAGATGGGTAAGTGAGCCCCAGCCTGGAGAGTTGTGTGTAGTTCTCTGCACCGACATTACAGGATGCTGAACACAAACTTGGGGGGTCACAAGCATCGGGGACTCAATTACTGCAAGAGTCAGAGGCCGGGCCTGTTACCCTGTCCTTGAAAACCTTTGGCAGCTCGCCCCCCAGCCCCAGCCCCTTGGGAGACATCAGGGAAAAGGACTTATCTTTTTTATGGATTTGGTTGCTATACTTGAGGGTACCATGGTGATGGGTGCCATAGAGATGAGAACTGACTTTTATTGGTTTATCTCTTAATTCCTGGGTCCCTCCCTCAACCCTCCTCACTCACAAAGCTCCCAGGTCAGCAGACCTAGGAGAGAAGGAGGTGGGGCCCCTGGTAAGTAGGCCCAGTGAAATGAGAACAACCTCCTCTTTTCCCTTTTTCTCACTTATTTCCCTCTCCCTTCTTCCCTCCTCCCTCTCATTATCAACAGCAATTGTATTCAAACCCAATAATTAACAGTAATAGCAACAAAATCATCATTTATTGGGGGTAGTTTACTAGCATTTTAACTTCCAAAAGCAGTTTTCCAATCTCTTATTTGTTTTCACAGCAGTCCCTGGGGAAGGGTTATGCCCATTTTACCACTGGGGAAACTGAGGCCCAGAAAGGACCCTGCTTCTGGTTAGAGTAGATTTATAGCAGTCCTTTAATAGTAAAAAAATCGTGCAGACTCTGGTGGTTCTTTGGAGGCAGCGGACTGCAAATCCTGGGTCATTCATGGGTCCCTACCATCCCTAGGACTTATTCAGCAGCTTTCTTGAGGATCTTGATAATGCTGACAGCGAGGCTGGAGATGGCTTCTTCTGGCCCAGGTCATGAACTGAGGACTGGGATGGGATATCCTCTCAGGGTTGTTCCTGTGGATGAAGGGCTATGGGGGGGAAGGGGGACATACTCCTGGGAAAGCCTACCCTGGAAAAGGCTTGTCAGGCCTAAACCTCCCTTCTTTTTTTGTTTTTGAGATATTTTTGCTGTAGGGTGCGTGTACTTGCCAGAGAGACAGAAAGTGAGAAATCTCCCCCAAGGGAGAATGGCCATGCTGCCATCTATTCTCTGTTCCCCTCTATTCTCCTGACCCTCTATTCTGCTCTCGGGATTTGGGCATGTGTACATGCGTGCCCAGCATCTGTTTCAGGCTGCCAGGTCTGGGACACAAACCGTGGTCGACCATGTGGGAGTCCAGTACCTTAACTACTATGCCAAGCCTCCCTTTTTATATCCTGTTTCTCTTTGCTAGCTCCTCTCCTGGAGATTTGGAAGAGTGAAGAAGGACCTTGTGGGAGGGCAATCTCTGTCCTCAGGGAGCCCATCTGAGAGGCAGCCATAGTCCTCAAACTGCATCCAAGGGCAGAGAAGTCCCTCTGAGGAACTTAGGAACTGTCCCAGGGCCCACTTTCTCTAAAGAAACCTGTCCTCTCCTCTCCAATGTATTTCCTGGGTAGGGTGAGAAGTAGGGATTCCTGAGGTCCCTGTAGTCCTCAGTGTCCAAGCACAGTGGCCGTCGGTCTCCAGTTCCTTTTTTTCCACCAAGAAGGGAGGCTCTGGAGGCCTAGGACTCCCACTAGGTCGAGTTGGGTGAGAGAAGTCAGAGTGATCATGAGGTCCTCCACCTCCCTCTGCTCTGTCCCATTAAGAGAGGGGAAGGCTGGGGTGAAAATGGGACAGGTCTGCTCCCAGATCCTTTCAGTCCAGCAATGTAAGGTCAGGACAGGGACTGGCACCCCTAGGCCCACTCCATGAAGACAAGAGATCAGGTCTCTCCAGCCCCCTGCAACCCCTTCCCCCAGGAAAAGGTCAGATCCTGCAAGGCCTATTGCCCACCTGCCAGTTTGCTCTTGGAGCCTGAGTGCAGGGCCAGGGTCTACACGGTTTCATACACACTCTCCATTTCAGCATCTCCTTTACCAGACTGGGAGCCTTTCTTCTGTGGCTCCACCTCCTCCACTTTCTCCTCTGTGATACCGGTGAGGATGGCCAGTCGCTGGGCCAGGGTCTTGGTGTCAGGGAACAGGATGAAGTTGTAGATCAGCGAAGCCAGGACAGCCCCTGTCAGGGGTCCCACCCAGAAGATCTGAGGAGATGGAAGTAGGCACCCACTCATGAGCTGTCAGGACCGTGGGTGGCTTGGGGACCGCTTGTGCTGATGTGGTCTCCCAGGAACTTTCAGACTGTCTAGAAGACCCAGACCCACCTCCCACTCCCACAAGGTGAGGGGACCTCGCCCTCCTTGGAACTGGGCCCAGGCTATGCAGCCTGACCAGGGCCAGGGGCCAGTCTCCCCACCCACTCCTGCCTCTTTCCTCTCACCTCCCCCGTTTTAGTCTTGGCGATTGCTGTTTTTGTCTCTGCTGGTGTGTGTATCTATTTCTGTTTGTCTTTTTCTTTATCCAAGTTTGAAAATTGGTCCAGCTGGAGAAAGTGAATAAGGAAACAGCCAGGGCTTTGAACTGAAGCCAAAGCTGCAGTTCCTGTCCTGGCCCACTTCTGACTCAGTCTACTGGGTACCCTGGGCTGCTGACACGGGAAAGAAAGGAAGTACGAGCCAGGATACACACCTTGGCCACAGAGCTTAGGGAAACCTCCGCTCCAGGGTCAAGTGGACTAGGCAGGAGGGGTCGCTTGTGTTCTCCCCAAGTGTCCGTGGACCTGTTCTTGTGAAACCCGCCATCTAGGCTGTGCCTGCTCAGGCCCTCTCCCTTCCCCGTAGCCACAGCAGAAGACCTTACCCAGTGGACTGTGAACTTCCCAACGATGACAGCAGGACCGAAAGAGCGGGCTGGGTTCATGGAGCAGCCGGTGAAGTAGATCTGGGAAGCACGGACAGGGCAAGGTGAGGGGACTGAGGCAGGCCTGGGAGGGAAGGTTCCCTCTGGCCTGCTTAGAACCCTGGCCTCAGCCTTGGCTTCAGCAGCACCATGTCCTGGACCTGGAGTTTAGGGCCACCATCTTGGTCCCGAGGCCTGAGGGGCTTCGGGAGGGTCATTTCCTGACCTTTAGGGCCCCAAAGCTCCCATGGAGGGCCCAGTGTACATGTGCAGATCCCCTCTGCCTCTTACCCCAATGAGGTGGCCCAGTGCTATAGAGATCCCGATCATGGGGGCCGGGGAGCCCGACGTCTGACGGCTGTCGGTGGAAGCAAAGACGCAGAGCACCAGCTGCAGGGTCAGAACCAGCTCCACTGCCACCGCCTGGCCAGTGGAGACGCTGTTCCGGACCTGGGCAGAGGGGGTTATGTTGGAACAGACACGGGCTCTGCCCACACATGGTGAACCCCTGGTCCTGATGTCAGCTGGGGGGCGGGTGGAGACACCTCACTACTGCTGAGCTCCAGGACTCCAGAGATCTGTGTGGTCTCTGGTTCAGGACAGGGAGACAGGAGCTCAGCTTGGTGGGAAGACCTGAGAATCTGGGGATGCATATTGAGAGTGGGCTGGGAGGAGACAGTAGGAGTGAAGGAGGAGATCTGGGGGAGTAGGTGGAACACACATGACTGGGGAACAGGCTGGGAGTGAAGCAAGGCGCTGAGGGGAGGAGCTTGGGGTAGAGGGTAGAACTCAGAAAATTAGGTGCGTACAAGGTCCCCTTCCTCTGCCCACAGCCTCAGCTCTCCCTAGTCCTTCTCCAACTTCTTCCCCCTTTGCCTTCACTTGTTCCTTGTACCACAATCCCATTCCTGTTCTTCCTAGACTAAGGCCGAAGTCCGAGTCCTCTGGATCTCAGGGCCTGTGCGGAGCAGCTGTGGAGAACGTAACTGAATCCTTCCTCTGCTCTCTTTCTGAGGCTGGCCCTCTGCCCTGACTACCTGTTTGGATTCTCTCCTCCTGGCAGGGCCCTGCCAGATGCCATTTTCCCAAGCACCAGTCACATGTCCCTCTCTGCACCCACCACATTGACTCCGAGAGTCTCCCGGATGTCCGATGGCGTGACCACGTAAAGCAGAGCAGCCCCTACGGTGGCTCCTGCTAGCTGGGCAGCCACGTAGGCCACAGCGCGAGGCAGAGAGATGTGAGAGCCCACAAGGAAGGCCAGAGTCACGGCAGGGTTGACGTGGGCCCCGCTGGCCTTCCAGGTGACCTGCACAGCCACGGCGGTGGCCAGGTTGAAGGTGATGGCAATCTGCAGCACAGAGGGCAGAGCTGAGGGCCAGTGCAGAGCTGAGCCTACGCCAAAGAACACGTACAGCCCCGTGGCCAGGAACTCTGCAAACAGCGCCTTGCTGATGGCTGCCCACACCCTGCACGCCAGCATGTTGACCCAGCCATGCCCCCCTGGCTGTGTTGCATCCATGTCCTGGTGCCGAGGGCTCGGACGCCTTCTCCTTGGCTTCTGAGTCCTTTTGATCTCCCCTGGTCTCTGACTCTGTGATTATCTCGCTCTCTGTGGTGGCTTCTCTACCCCTGCCTGCAGCTTCTTTACCACACTGCTGTCCCGAGAAATGTGCAGCTCAGACTGGCAGGGAGTGGGCGGAGGGGCTTATGTGTGGGTGGTTGCAGGGGAGGCATGTGTGTGTTCTGAGGGGTGGTGCTCACGTGCCTGCTGTGGCCTGAGCTCACCTGACGGGGTGGGTGCTGAGCTGGAACCTCCGGGAGGTTTTCCAGGGCTGAATAGTCCTAACTCGCCGCAGGCAGAGAGCTAGCCTAGGGTCTCAGGTGCAAGGGCAGCAGTGGTCACGTGATTCCAGAGGCTCACATCCCTGATGCCAGCTGAGAGCAAGATCAACCTCAGATCCCCAAGACCAATGTCTGCTTCGGGGCTTCCTGTGCATTCCCAGGAGCTCTTGTTCTCTTGGCCCACTCTGTCTCCAGACACTGCCTCCAGGTGAGCTGTGCCCCGCAAACCTAAATGGGAAACTAAGCTCGCTCCTCTCTTCCCACCTAAAGCCCCACTCACAGAAGGTACATGTGAAGTCAGCTTCACTAAGGACGCGGTCGAGGGGTGTGGAGGGCACTGGTGGGGGAGGGTCTACTCCACATCGCATCAAGCCGTGTCACAGCAGAACCAGCTGGTCCCTCTACTGTCCCCATCGGGAATTTCCATGGCCCTTCACTCACTCCCCGTCTCTTTCCCACCTCCCACTCCCCGCTCACCCCTCCCTCTGCTTCCCTCCTTCTCAGGGACCGAACACATTCCTCTCATTTTGCACACAGCGCAGCTTAACCATTTCTGTGGCCACACTGGCCTAAAAATGACCCGTGCACCAGGGTTCCCCTTTTACTTCCCCCCAGCAGCATATCAAGATATTTTCTCAAACAAAAACGTTCCCTTCTTAAGAGGACTGCCTAGCTGTTGATAGGCAAATAATAGTCTTTACCTCTTAACTACATCTGACCTCACCCCTGGCCATATCTACTTTCCAATAGATGTCCCCTGGCTGTCCTTAGGCTCCTCAAATCAATCTGTCTCAAAATGTGATCCTCTGCCTGTCTCCCCTAAAGGCACTCCTCTCGTTTTCTCCAGCTCAGTTGGAGGAATCTGGGAAGCATCCTTGCCTCTTCTCTCCTTCCCTGTCCAATAAAACTTCA